CAGTGACAAGCAGTATCCACTTCCTTCCCATCTGAGGAACAACAATGTGGAAGAGCAAAAGTAGAGCTGGCCTGTTATCTGCTCACATGCGGGTAAGGACACTAGGCCTGGTGGGGGCCACAGGGACGGCCACCCCCAACCCCTACCAGTGAGTACAAAGTCAAAAATAGGCTTCTTTATTATCTTTCCTGTTTTGTTGGACCTAAAATTAACACTTATTCTAGCTTTTGAGAACATGAATTCAAGAATGCTTTGAAGCTGAGCTATCACTTAAATAGCCCAGAGAAGGAAAAAAAAACTTCATAATTTCAACCTTTTAACAATTTCCTGTTCATGAAATGTGGGTTGAGATTTTTTTTTTAATAGTATTTATTTTTGCATAGAAGAACTTGGGTGTAGGCCAGAGGTGCAGGGGTGGAGGATGAGATGATTCACCAGAGACAGAGTCGGAAGCAGAACAGACGGATTGACTGAAATCCACTGCTAAGGGGAGCAGTGGGTGAGACAGGAGAAAGGTCTGCTGTGCCATGTGGGTCAGAGCTCCCTGGACGGGCTCGAACTCAGGCCATAGAGGTAATAGCGCTGAGACTTAACCCCTAGACCACCAGGGAGGTCCAGGTTTTTGGTTGAGCAATGGTAAAGTCACCACTGAAATGAGGCACTGGATGGAAAACATGTAGGTTTAGAAAACATACCAAGACTTAGTTTTGTGCATGTTAAGTTGGAGATGTCTATTAAACAACCAGGCCAAGTGGTAACACAGGCTCCTAAGGGACAAGGGACACTTGTCATCAATTAGACAATTAGATGATGTTTAAGGTCCTGGAAATGACCTTAGGAGGAGCTGAGATGGGGAAAAGGTCACAGAACACTTGAAAGTTTAGAGGCCAGGAACAGATAAGAACCCAGCAGGGGAAGGGATGATGCTCAGTGAAATAAGTCAGAAGGAAATAAAAAATATCAGATGGTTTCATTTATAGGCGGAAAATTGGGAAATAAAATAAGGGATCAGAAAAACAAAGGAAGACAACACTAGCAGGCAAACTATAAATCCGAGACATCCAGCAGGGGAGGGGGAGGGGCCATAACAGGGGAGGGAAGAGCACAAGAGACTATGGTGACATAGTCTGACATAGTCTACTCACCGAAACTGCAGAAGTCACAGTTTCTGCAACTTCTGACTCTATACTGTTTTCAGCTTCTTTTTTCTCCATGGTTCACTGGTCAGCAGGTTTTTTTTTAAAAAATCAGACTTACAAGGTTTAACTTATACACAATAAAAATTCACCCTTTTTAAGTGTGATGCAACCTGACAAATGCATAAAATCTATCACCACAACCACAATGAAGACCCAGAGTATTTTCATCAACAGAAAAGTTCCCTCTAGCCTGTCTGCATCAGTCGCCTCTGCTATCTTCCAGCCATCGGAGATGATGATGTTTTCTGTCTCCATAGTTTTCCCTTTATAGAACATTCTCTATGAATGGAAACAGTCTTTCCTGTCTGGCTTCTTTTACTTGACATAATGCTTCTGAAATTTATCATGCTGTTTGTATCAGTAATATGCTTCTTTTTAGTGCAGTATAGTATTCCATTGTATGGATGAACTACAATTGATCCACTGACCAGTGGATGGGCATCGAAGGAGTTTCCAAGTTTTAGCTAGTATGAATAAGACTGCTATAAATTTTAACTCAGCAGTCTTACATAGTCACAGGTTTTCATTTCTCTTGGGTCACTACCTACGAGGAGGATCATGGAGTGATGAAGCATGTAGCACTTGTTCACTGAGAACAGCTAAACATTTACTGAGTGCTAATGTTGCCCCATGCATTGCTCTAAGTGACTTGAGATATTTAATTTTTCAAACAACAATCAAATGACTTTGTTTCCAGGTCAGGTGACTCACCCAAGATCACAGAATTACAGTAGCAGATTCCTGATTCTCGAAGCGAAGAACTGCCAGGTGACATGCAAGCTGGCAGCTACTTGCCCCAAGTCAAGTACATATCTGAGAGACCACAAATCTAGCTTGATGGTCTATGTCTTTTTGATCAAAAACAGCCATTGCTGACTCTTCATTATCTCCCTTTCAAATCATGACAATCAATAAACCGGAATTTTCTGAGGTTCATTGCAATAACCTGCCACTTTAAAGTCAGCACTTTATAAGGAAATGTTTTGAACTGCTTCACAGATGTTTATAAATATTGACTTATTTGTGTTTGGAAACCTAATACCTCCTATTGGAGAGCTAAATCTTCTTACGGAAATGCTAAAGTCAACCCACTTGTACCAATATGGTATGTATCAGAGTTAATAAGTGTCCCCTGGAGATGTATCCACTCTTATAACCTAAGAGCTCATGTTTGATGGAAAAATATGAAAACCATGGAATCAGACACACCTAGTTTCAGATCTTGTCTCTGCTGTCCAGCAGATAGGTACATACCTACTTCCTGACAATTGAAAAATGGTTTGAGTAAGTTCGAGTGGGCAGGATAATTATAAAGATTCAATACCACAAATGGGCTCAAATGCCAAACATTGTGCCTTACATATTTAACAAACTCTTCCTCCTTCCCCTTCTCATATCTTCCAGAATGTACATGCTGAGTCTTTTAGATTGCATAATAGAAATTGGTTCATTATCAAGTTCTTCTAGTGGTGTGTCAATTTTTCATCCAAATAGCAGCAAAGGAGAGACAGTGGTAATTCTTTAAATGTTCATATTTGATCTTAAAAAAAATTTATGCAAACTTTGTGTTTTATTCCATAATATAATCAAAATTGCTTTACACTTATTTTCAGTTAAATGACATTGCTGTCTTCTGAATTTCTTTATTATTATTTTATATATATATTACATTATTCTTCATTTTTATACAATGTATGCTTTATCACCTCAGGTATAGTAGCGTGAAATTCCCACCACCAATTCACCCGTGTACCATAGTCCCTTGTGCTCTTTCCTCCTCTGTTTTGATCCAACTGCCTCCTCCCCAGCCCCCACAGAATGTCTCTGGTTTATAGTTGCCTGTTGATTTTGATTTTTACTTTATTATAATTATTTTTTCCCTCATACCTTATTTGGATCCCCAACATTGCTCCTATAAATGAAATTATCTGGTATTTTTCTTTTTCTTTCTGGCTTATTTCACTGAGCATTAGTCCTTCCAGCTCTATCCATGTTGCTGTGAATGGCATGAGTTTATCTTTTTTGATTGCATATCTATACCACATCTTCTTGATCTAATGATCTATTTGGGGGCATTTGGGTTGTTTCCATAGCTTAACTATTGTAAATAGTGCTGCCATAAATATTGGGGTGCAGGTGTCCTTTAGAATTAATATTTTTGTGTCCTTTAGGTAGATACCCAGCAGGGGAATTGCTGGATCATATGGAAACTCCATTTCAGCAGTTTGAGAAACCTCCATACATCTTTCCCTAGTGGTTGGACCAACTTGCATTCCCACCAATAGTGTAGAAGAGTTCCTCTTTTTCTCCACATCCTCGCCACATTTGTAGTTGCTAATTTTTTAATATGTGCCATTCTCACTGGTGTAAGATGGTATTGCATTGTGGTTTTGATTTGCATTTCCCTGATTATAAGTGATGCGATATTTTCATATGCTTGTTGGCTATTTGCATTTCCTCTTTGAAGAAGTATCTTTTTAGCTCTTCTGCCCATTTTTTGACTGGGTTATTTACTTTGTTTTTGTTGAGTTCTGTCAGCTCTTTGTCCCTCTTTGCGATCAGTCCCTTATCATTCGTATTGTGTGCAAAAATTTTCTCCCCATCAGTAGGGTGTCTCTTTGTTTTGGTTAGTGTCTCTTTTGCTCTACAGATGTCTTCTGAAATTTTTAAGAATATTTGGCTTAAGAAGATGTCTCCTGATAAACAGTAGTTTCAGTTCTGTGCTACCACACTGCCACTTACCTGAGATTCAGACTCCCAATAAAAAAGCATGAACCTGCAAAGTCTTATTAAGACTTGAAAATGTTTTCACACACTCTAGTCATTACTCCCTCCTGTCCACAACACCATCACACCATCTTAACCCTATAACACAGCCTGGTTTGCAGTCTTGACTCAAAAACTTGTAACTCAGAATTCTCCAAACAAGGAAAATAGCTGCCTTCTGCCCCCTCTACTTGGAGTCTCCTGCCCCTTGTAAGCTAAGGAGATACTGGCTGCAATCTTCTGGGACTATTCTGTTATGGCTACAAGTGTAAGCATGAATACCACACACCCAAAGCCATGTTACAAAGAAAAATAAGAAGCTAATCAAGCATGACTGTGCAAACTGTGATGATGGAGAATTGACACTTTTTTTTTAGTTGACTGAAAACACTCTAAGACTTTAACATATTAATAAAAAGTCAAGGAATTTAATTCAGCTACACTTATGGAGTAGGGATGCTTGGTTATCTATACAATATGATACTGGAAATAGTTAAGTCCATGAAAAAACTTTCTGTCATAAGGTAATGCCACACCTTTTCATTTAGGCAAAATACTCTTCTAAGTAGGCTATCCGAGCCCTGGATGTTAAATATACTTCGAGCAATATACAACATCACTGAAATTTTGTTTTCATTATTTTGTCATCAGAAACCTAATTATAAACTTTTTTCTTTTTAGCCAAAAAGTTCTCCCCAGGAAGGCAGGGGTAGGACATCACTGAGTATGAGATCTTTACCTAAGTACAGCAGGCAATAGACAGATGAGAAATAACTTTAAATTTTCAGACGCAATTCTCAAAAGTTAGTATTGGGTTGTCAGAAAAGTCATGACATGTTTTTTCTGTTTTTCAAGCAAAAATGCATCATTTCTTTTCTGACAAACCAATTTATAGGGTTGGATCCTTTTTAGCAGCCCATGTGGAATGATGGGTAGAAAGTTAAGGATCTTCAACTTGGGACCCTGTCCTCTTGGAGCTGATAGTCCAAGGGGAACTGTCAATTGGATGCTGTTCAAAGGTCAAGGGCTTCTTACCCAGATAGGATGCGTGCGGAGTGTGAGGAGCCAAAAAAGGCCTCTTGGAGGCAGCAACATCACCTGAAGAATGAGGAGGCATCAATAAATAAAACAGATATAAACACAACAGACAAATCTAAGAGCAGCATTAACAGAGAGACCAGAGGGGACACAGGACCTGAATCTTGGACCAGCCTCTAGAACAAGTAGAACCCAACCCTGAGCTGGTTTAATCAGTCATTTCACCTTAACCCTTAATACACATCAGAACTGTGTGGGAGCTTTCTAAAACTAGTACTCTTCTCTTCTAGTAACATGGTCTCAATGGGTGGGATGACAGTGTTTCCTGTAAAAGTTCTCCAGGTGACACTAATCTGCAGGCAGGACTGAGAACACGGGCTGAGATCATCTCTCTGGCATTCTCTTGTGGTCTCTTCTTCAGCTGTGCTCTGCCTCTGAGTGATGCCACCCTTATATCCCTGACCTCTTAGGCACAGGTGCGTACTTATACATGCCCACACCATACTCTGGTGTCCACCATCTGTTACATGTACCCCATACCCACGTTCTCAGCATCTCCTGCATTAACACAATCAAGGCCTCAGATGACAGAGGCCAATGGGTACAAGTCTGATCAATCTTCAGTTACCAGTTACCCTACAACCACACAGTAGGATTGATTTTGGACAGGCACATAATTCATGTCCATGCGTGATGTGTAAAAATTGCCCATTCCAAAAGCCTCAATTCTTTTTTTTTTTTAATTTATTTATTTATTTATACAAGCACTGGGTACAGCCAGAAGCACCGGAGGGTGAGAGAATTCACCAGAGCCAGAGCGGGGAGCAGAGCAGGCAGAAGGACCGAGGTACACTGCTGAGGGGAGCAGCGGGCGGCAGGAGAGATCTGCGCGCCATGTGGGACCCTCCTCCAGTGGCCGGCGAGCGGCCGGGGATCGAACCGGCGCTGCAGAGGCTGCGGGCAGCCTCGCAACCCAGCGCTCAACCGCTGCGCCACCGGGGAGGCCCCCAAAAGCCTCAATTCTAAAGTTCAAATTCAACACAATCCATCCACACATGATCCCACCAGCCATCCTCTCCATCACTTTGAATCTGATCTGTGTGGGCAAATGTAATATGAACATTGCATCCCCTACCCACAACGTTGCTTAAGTCCGCTCAGTAGCAGTGGCCAACCGAGCAAACAGTAATTAGAAGCACTCCAGACTACCTTTTAAATCTGCTGCTAAATTATGTCTTTCCTGTGCCAAAGCCCATATATGCAGTGTGTCCACAGCATCATGAAACCCAAGTAAAAAATATTTACATTAATAAGAGCACAAGTCACCTCTGGGTTTTCACATGGATTCTGCGGAGAAGCAAGGGCTACTCTGGCAGAGCTGTTCATTCCTGGTATTTCTCACATCAGGGTAAATAAAGCATTTCCCACATGCGGTTTTCCCAGGGGAAAATTAACTCTCTGAGGTTCTAGAAATGAAGAACACCTCTGACAGACACCCTCATTTCCTAAAATGAGTCCGAAATGAAAATGATTCTTCGGCAAGAACATGTGCACCATGGCTTAGCTGATAAAATGATTCCAGGTGAAGCCTGCGGTTCAGGGGCTGGGCCCGGGCAGCAGGGAGACTGGGAAGAGGCCCAGGGCCAGGGCCCTGCACTTCATCTTAGAGCCGCTGTTGTTCGCCTGGAAGGTTTGCAAATCCAGTGTGGGGTGGGCTGTAAATCTTGATTAACACTGAGATTGCTCACATTCCATTAGGAAGCTGGCCCCCGTCCAAGGCTGGAAGCAGCCAGCAAGGGTTCAAGTGTCATCGTGGGCAGAGAAACAGCAATTCTTACAAGAAAAACTGTTTCACTTAACTAAAAATAGTCTGTGCAAGTGAATGACTCAGATAGATCTTTCTTCCTGGGGAGGACAGCTATGCAGAGATGAGCTGCCCCTCGGAGGAAGCCCCACCCTTCACATCATGTGGAGGAGGACAGGCATGTGGTCAAGCAGTGGACAGGAAGAAGACTGAACCACCTCTCACAGCTTGAGTAATGGCCAGTAACCAAGAAGGCAAAAAACACAGGCTTTCTTCACCAAAATTAAGGCCAGTTATTTTTTTTTTTTTTAGATGACCCATCACTATCCTTTCCATCATGAGTTTTTAAAGGAATCCCAATTCATGTTTATAATGGGGCTGGGGATGGGAAAGCTGGAGATACCCTAGAGGTCTACCACTAGAAGAACAATTAAATGAAAACCCCATATCGACACTGGAACACGAGGTAGCGATTTTAAAGAAGGTCAATGCAGAGACTATGCAGATACAGAGATTTATATTAATACCTGGATTCTGTAAACATTTGTGTAAATATGTTTAAGGAAATTATCTTAGCCTAGGAGGAGGAGGTTAGGAAAAATTTTTTCATTTTATACCCTTCAGTACAGTTTGAGTGATCTTTCTATGTACCTATTTCCCTCCTACCCCTTCATAATAGCAGGCATTAAACAGGTGGAATATTCTCTCTCTCTCTCTTCTTCTCTCTCTCTCTCTTTCTCTCTCTCTCTCTCTCTCTCTCTCTCACACACACACACACACACACACACACGTAACTTAAAACAAGTGAATGTTATTTTAAATAGAGCTAGGAGCTAAACTCAAAATTCTTACATTGAAGCCCTAGCCCATGCGCAACTCAGCCTTGAAAGGGCTAGTTAAAAGAAACACCAGGGTGAGCCCTCCCACCCCCTCCACCCACCACCGCACTGAGATCCTCACAAAGGAGGGAACAAGGACACACACAGCACAGAATAGGGGAGGGGCATCAGGAAAGCAGCCTCTCCAAGACCAGGAGTGGGGCCTTGGGGGTGGGTGTCACACAAGCCAAGACCTTGACCTTGCATGTGTTGCTCCAGAACTGTGAGAAAATAGATGTCCGAGGTCTCAGCAACCCAGTCTGTGTTCTGTTATGGAAGCCACAGGTCTTCATGGGTGAAAAGCACACTTTGTCTGCTGTGGGCAGATAGGAAGAGATTGGGGCTCCAGGTACTTCTGTCTAAATGGGGGGGGCCACTTGGCTGTCTTCAGCCAGAATCAGAACCAGTTTCCCACTGCCTCAGTCAGGACTCAGGCCACGAATGTTTTATGGTATTTTTAATAAATCCTAAAATTCCAGAGCCCAAGGAATTTATTCATGTCGTTCTAAGACTTATATTCAAAGGACTTTCTTCCCGAGCTGATAACTAATGAAGAGGAAGGTAACATTATTAACTGTATTAGTATTAATAATGCACTGTTAGTATTATTAATTAACTGCATTAATTCAATTTTAAAAAAGGACATGGCACCCAGAATTTTTTTAAAAATCCAGAACAAACATTATACTGTATTTGTGTGCCAGCCCTAGTTTTTTACACTTTAATACATGTGGTCTCAGACCACAACACAATACATTAAAAGTATGATAGATTAAGGCTAAAATTCTTTATGGAATTTTATAGGTTTTTATAAATTAACCAACCCTTTCTTTAAAAATATTAGAGATTAGTGGTCAAAGATATATTAAGACCACAGACTTTTCTTGCTCTATAACCTAGAAGTACACTGAGATCAGTTGCATGAAAAGATCAGAACTTGAAGATAATAAAGATGTGGTATAAATCATAATGTAATACTATACAGTAATAAAAAATAAAGATGAAATCCTGTCACTGACAACAATATGATGGACCTGAAAGGAACTATGATTAATGAAACAAACCAGACAGAAAAGAAAAACAGTGTGATTTTGTTCCTGTGTGACATATACAGAAAACAAAGAAACTAATAAAAAAAACACCTTTAGGACTCTAAGACCAATTGGTGGTTACCAGCATGGATGGGGGAAAGGGTGTGGGCAAAGTGGGCTAGAGGGGACAATGTTACAGTGAAGGAGAGATTTGGACTTCAAGGGTTAACTTAACATTGTCAATGCACATGTTGCTTCTCAGGGATGAACACCTGATACTTGCTATGTAAGACTACAATGCCATGTTACTTTAGTTAAAACAACCCTGAGGATAAGAATCTGTGGTAGTCAGTTCAGGCTGCATTCAAAGGAAAGCAGAATCACTTTGCCTTATATGGCTAGGGAGTTTCACCCAGGGCAGGAGCTCTAAACCAATCTGGGATTGCACACATTAAGGTCAAGCAAAGGGATTTATGTCCACATCCATCTCGTTACTGAGCACAAAACTTTGAAGGCAATAACTATGTACTTAAGACCCTAACAGGGTTTGCCACATAGGAGACCTCTGCCCTGCTGGGCCAGGAGAGACAGGTGTGCAGGTATAAGTGCCTTCACCTCACAGCAGGTCTGAAGAGCAGATTCTTGCCAGGAGGCTGTGGGATGCAAAGTCAAAACAGGGTCGACCAGTAGATACACTGGTTGGATTTTATCCTCATGCTGTGTGAATTTGATGAAGGTGTTTCTAAAGCAGAATGTTATAAACACAGATGGAGTGAGCAGTGATGTACAGAATGGATGAGAGGTGGTTGGGAAGTGACAAGCATCAGTCAAGGGACATCAAGAGGTTAGGCAGGTGATTGGTTGAAAAAGTCTCAAGTGGCTAAACTTCAATGAGTGTCACTACCCAACTTCCTAGGGCTGTTGTGAATATTAAATGGGGCAAAATCATGGCCTGATGGTAGCAATTAATATAATTATTATTACTACTTCTTATTATTACTATAGATATTATTCCTTCACATTAAAGAATAAGGAGAAAATGAGGGAGTAGGCAGCCAGAGTACACTTTCATGAGCTCTCCTCAAAACCTTGAAACAAAAAACAGTAATGGCTATTTGTTTTGTTTTGTTTTATTTTGGAAGTGGAGAGTGTTGTGTTTATTCTTTGGTTCTCCAGCAGTTAGGGCAGTGGTAGAAAAGACCCAACAAAGGAAGAACATATATCTGCAATGATCTTTAAAATCAAGATATGCCTGGTGCCTCCCTGGTGGCACAGGGGTTAAAGTCTCAGCACTATCAAGCTATCACCAGCCACTGCAGCAATAGTTCAATCCCAGGCCAGGGAGCT